CCTCTAGTCTGGCTTTTCTCCTTCTAGCTCTATCTCTCCTACCCTCTACATCCTGTAACTGGTGCTGTAACTCATCATGAAAGAGCATCCGTTTGATGGATCTCATAATCCTCTGGCATCAGGAGTTGCTGCTGGCTGACCTGCGAACCAGCAAACGGACTGACGAAAGGCTGGGACATACCCTGACTACCATCTGACGAAGAGGCCTGAGTAGAGGCCTGGGACATTGCAGAGGTGGCAGCCATTGCTGCCCCCSCTTCAGCCCTRGTGTGTGCTGCTGCTGCAGCTATTAATGCTCTCTCCGCGTTGTTTGCTGCCTCCTGTGCCCTCTGCAAGTGTCTTCTCCTCTCAGCTTCTTTCGGCAGTCTCCTTCCCTCACCCGACTCTAATCAACTGACTAAGCACTCGTCTACGGATAGTCCTCCTACCATCCTGGTCTAGTCTTTCAAACCTTTGTGTCATCTTCACTCATGAGCTACGCGTGGCATGCAGTCTACACTAATATCCTCACTGGGACCTACCGCAGTGTGACATCCAACCGATTCTTAAAATCAATCAAAATAAAACAATTATTCAGTCTGGATATGTCAGAAAGTAGTCAAGCGGTAACAACAGATCAGTTCAGAGAACTTCAGACCCCTATAAACAATTATACTCCTCTTTATGACTAGTCTCAAACAAATTGCAATGCAGCAAAGAATAAACTACTACTCTATCTGCAGCAGTCTCTCAATTGTCAGCAGTGTATGTAACAAGTACTAGCAACTAACTAATCAGAAGATTCAGAAATAAAAATGAAATTGTTTGCTGGAATGCATGCCGAATGGGAATAAAGCAATACTTGATAATCRAGCAGTTAGCTGGAATCTGCACTCCCCCTCCAYGAGTGTCACTTCGTGTTGACGTCCTGAAAGCTCCGGTTGAGCAGTGTGTCTAAAGGTGTGCACACGGCCCACCCCTGTGCCCCAAGTCAATGTCAAACCAGCTAGCCCCGTTCATACTATTTTTAAACTCGCGTACAGTGTGAGTACAGGCTGCACCCCCGTTACTCATCCGATTGCTCAGAGCTGCACCCCCATTACTCATCCGATTACTCAGAGCAGCGTTATTAGAATAGTCTCAGTGCGGTTCTCTGCAAGACTTTCAGCCCAGCCCTCATGCCAGCTCAGTTCAGTTTCGATGTAGACTTTAGTGTTGCTCTGGGAGCAAATTCTCGCAGGGCTCAGTATCGTTTCAGATGAGCCCCTGGTACAGTTCAGTGAGCACTCGACAGACATCAGAAAATTCTCCAAACCAGTTCAATGTAGGGTAAAACTCACATCTGTTTCAAATCAGATTGCAATAAAATTCTAAAGCAGTTTCATGTCAAATTTCAGCAAAACTTCAGAGCAGTTTCGAGTCAGTTCTTAGTTCCGCAGTGGAATTGATGAGGAGGGAAGGGGTCGGGAAATCAGACGAGGGGCGCAGTGGAATTTGATGGATCTATCGCTATCCAATAGTGGAAAGAGAGCTGGTCGGAGACTCCCCATATCCCTCTGCCCCCCTTCCCATTCCACCTTTGCTATCCACCCCCCTTTCGCCCTGTCTCTTATACACATCTAGATGTGTATAAGAGACAGAGTCAAGCGTGTGCCTGAGGTTGTCCCGTTGTGTTAGCAAGTCTGTCTGGATTTGTTGTTTGACGGCCTCTGTGAACTCGGATCCTTCCCGGCCTGCTAGGTCCAAACTCCAGTTTAGGGAAGATTACCTTCGGTACCCAGCAACGGGTAGCGCTCTGGGATGGCGGACATCATTTTGCTGCCTGAACTGCTGCCTCATATGCCTCCAGGGTGGCCTGCTAGGTCCTAGGTCTAGTTAAGGATAGATTACCTTTGGTACGCAGGGTGGGTAGCACTCTGGGCTAGCGGACATCATTCCCCTGCACCCGTAGGTCTCAAGGATAGCTTGCTAGGTCCTAGGTCCGCCCAGTAGAGGCGTCGGGATGCCAGAGTAATGATGAGTGGGTCACATAGGGTCATATAGGGAGAGTTGGGCTTGGGGTCCAGTACACTACCTGCACACGGTTACGGATGCACTTCCGGTTCAATGACTAATTTCAAGTCGAGCCTGGTGGTTTCGCGGATCAGCCCTGTAGTTCGCACTTGGAAGGGGAAGCAGATTGGGACTATAACAACCGCTATGGTTGGTCATCTCCTTGTGGCCACGATAGGGTCTTCTTTGTCCCTGCCTGGTTCAGCGGACACATAGTAGAGGGGCTTGAGGTCCAGCGCGCTATCTGGGAGGAGCTGCGGCCATGCAGCTGGTCCATGCAAATCGCAATCCAACCTGCCACTGAGCTCTATGCCTAGACAAGGCCTCCGGGATGTGACTATGTGTGTGCCACCAAACCCTGTAGTATCATTTTGGCCACATAATACCGTCCAGTCCACATAGTATCACCCACCCCATGTAGCGCCACCCCACCCACTTGAGTATCATCCATGCCCCATAATACCACACTTTCCACATAGTACCACCTAGTCCACATAGGATGACCCGCTCCACATCGTACCGCCCAACTCACATATCTCATAGTACCACGTACCACCCAGCTCACATTCCTCGTTGTACCGCGCAGTCCACATCGGGTATGATCCACCCCATGCAGTGCCACCCAACCCGCATAGGCCACATAGTCCTGCTCAGCCCACGTAGTACCATCTGCCTGCGCCAAGGGCTGACTTAGCCCTGATGTTGACCATGTGTTTTTTTTGGGGGGGGGACTGTGGCAGTGGCACACTTTTAGTTTGAAATAGGCAACAAAAGACAAAGTGGCACCAGTGTCATGGTGTGAGTTTCGAAATGTGCAAGTTTAGCAGGCCCTGGGGTCTAAAACTGCATCAGTCAGTACCCGTAGAGGCGCTTGGCAGATATAGGCGGGTCGTCTTTTTTGGTCCATTTAAACCACCAGTACTTGGCCCAGCTATCGGCCGCGGAAAAAGATAGAGTAGAAACGTTTCTAGTTGGATGAATTTGGGCGCTCCTGTAGTGGCCAGTACGTTTCCTAAAATCGTGGCGAGTTAACGTGCACGACTCTAGGAAGTACTTGTGGTTTAAGGGAACTGCTAAAGTTGCCTATTCTGAACATTGGGTGTGACTCCAACGGTTTTTTCTTTGTTTTTTTTTTTGTTTTTTTTTTTTTTTTTTTTTGGTGTGACTCCAACGTAGTTGCCCCTCTTTTCTTTTTTTTTTCGTGGCCGTCTGGCCCGTCTCTATAAATTTTTTTTCTTTTCTTTGTGGGAGAGTGTGTACCATCCAGTCCACATGGTATGGCCTGCCCCACATGGTACTGGCTGGTCAAATGGCACCACCCAACCCACGTAGCTTCACGCAGGCCATATAATGCCGCCACCCAGCCCACATCGTACCATAACCGTGCCAAGGGCAGAGTTCGTGCCAAGGGCAGAGTTGTGCCTACGTATGTGAGCTTTTTATTCCTTTTTTTTTGTGGCTGTGTGAGTGTGTGTGCATTTTGTTTTTCTAGATGGCTGTGTGCATTAGTACCATCCAGTCCGCGTCGTACGACCCACCCCGTATGGTACCGCCCAGCCCACATAGTATCACCCACACCACATGATACCACCCAGCCCACATAGCACCGCCTAGAGAGAGGGCCATGCTCTGGAATCAGGAGGTGGAGATGGTTTTTTTTATTGCGAAAGGCCTGTTTCTTTTTGTTTGCTTGGTCACATACATGGCAGAGGAGGAGGGCAGGTAGGAAGATGACATGGTGCAAGCGGCAGGAGGAGAAGGACATGGCGGAGGAGGACGGGCAAGGGGAGAACGCAGCAGAGAAGAAGGCGGCGGCCAAGGAGGAAGGGAACGGGGGAGCAGCATGGAGAGGAGATTGCAGAGGACAGGGAGAAGGAGGAGGAGGAGGTGGAGGAGGTGGAAAAGGAACGAGGGGGAGGAGGAGGTGGAGCAGGTGTGGAAGCAAGATGGAGAGGAGGTGGCTGCGACGGGGAGGAGGAGGTGGAGGTGCCCAAGGAACCGGGGGGAGGAGGAGCACGTGTGTTCCACCGGCGTAGCCGCTGCAGGCATCCAGTAGTTTCCTAATATGATACTGCTGCAGAAATATGGGACGCTGGGCCCGGTTCCCAGCGCGTGTGGCTCCCCACCATAGATTGGAGCATTTGTCCCGAAAAAGAAAAAAAAAAGTGGCTGTTCTATTGAACTTATCAAATGGCAAAGCCTGTGCCGTGATGCTATAACATCGGAAAACAAAAAAATGAACTATCAACACAAGTGATCATGATCAAAGGAGCACAACGGCACTCAGCTACTAATCAACATATACATTCAGACAAGAAAAATATAAAGACAGTGGTTTAAAAAAAAAAAAAAAAAAAAAAAAAAGCGACAGAAACTCGGCTACAAAGCAGCACGCAAATGCTGACATATATTCACCCTTCTACAAAATGAAGGCATAACATACTAGACTCATTACCCCACCTCAATTGCAAATCACAATCCAAAACGCCGCGGAGTTCTATGCCTAGACACAGCCGACGGATCTGCCCTCCCAGGTGTGACTATGTGCGATTGCTCTTTTGCGCGCCGAGCTCGTTTTCTCTCCTCCTCAGCCTGTTCAAGCTGCTGCTTCCGTTTCACTGCCTCTTCCATTTCCTGCTCCATGAGCACCTTCTCTTCTCTCTCCTTTTTTCGCTGCTCTAGCCTGCTAGTATGCGACTCCTTAATGCTGAAAAACATGGGCCCAAGCTCTGCTAGCCAGTGCGGTTCCACTGCCGTCACACACTGCATATATTCCTTGGTGGTCATGATGAGCTCGTGGTAGACTATGTACTCGGGTGTGTACCCGAGGCCAAAAAGCGCACTACTGGGATGGAGGTGGCAAGGCATGCCCGTCCTGCTGTTGACGTACTCGCCAACTCCCTTGAGGCGTGCAGCGTTGTGGAAATACGCGGAACAGATCGCTTTCCTTACGATATCCCACTCCGTGCCACAAGACGTGAGCGGAATTTTCTGCTGCTTCATGATGTCGAGCAACTGTGACCGCACTTCTCTTGCCTTCCGGAGCCCCTTGACGTGAAGGAAGTGGTCGTTGCACCAGTCCGCGCGGTAATTGTTGGTCTTCCACTGCTGATAAACATTGAGAAGCGTCAAGTGGTCACTCTCAGGTACAAAGAACTTTTCGCGAGCTGCATCGCTCTCCTCAGCTCGGTCCTTGGGACGAAAAAACACCGAAGGCACGCTGATCATCGACACGATTGTCAGCACCTCGTTCGCGCACCCCAACTCCTCCCCCATCAGCAGCATCTTGGCTAATGACGGATCGAGAGGAAACTCGACCATCTTCCGACCTAGTCCCGTCAATCCTCCGGTGTTGTCCAGTGCTCCCAGTACCCACAGCTGATACATGGAGTTGAGGATGTTTTCCTGCGGCGGAGGGTCCATAAAGTCGAAGTCGAGAAGGTTCTCGATATTGAGGGACTTGAGCAAAAGAACGACATTGCCAAGATTCGTCCGCTGGATCTCAGGAACGGCATTCGGCAGCATCTCATACTTGTAAGCATTTTCTGTGAACAGCCGATAACACGTGCCGGGCCCCGTTCTTCCTGCTCGGCCACATCGCTGGTCTGCTGCCGCTCTGCTAACAGGAAACACCTGCAACACATCCATGCCCATGCGCGGGTTGTAGACTTTGATCTTGCTATAACCAGAATCCACAACATAGAGAATTCCATCAACTGTCAGCGAAGTTTCCGCAATGTTCGTTGCGACAATGCATTTCCGTGCTCCTCCCTCTGCTTTCTGGAATATCTTTGCCTGCAAGTCGGCGGGAAGCTGAGAATAAATGGGAAGAATTGCAAGAGGAGGCGCAGTGTCCTTCAACTGATCTACTCGCTCCTGAAGCGCAAAGCAGGTGCACTCAATGTCTTCCTGTCCGGTCATAAATATCAAGATGTCCCCTTCCGGACACGAGCAATGGATTGCCATGGCTTGCTTCACCGCGGCGTCTACATAGTCCTCGCAAGGATTTTTGCTGTACATGATTTTCACAGGGAAAGTTCTTCCAGGAATGTGAAAGATGGGAACGCTTCCGAAGAAGTGGCTGAACTTCTCTGCATTTAGCGTGGCCGACGTCACTATCAGCTTGAAGTCCCGGCGCCTTGCCACAACCTTTTTCAGAATGCCGAACAAGACGTCGGTGTGAAGGGACCGCTCATGCGCCTCGTCCATAATGATCAGACTATACTGATCGAGATCCGGTTCACGAAGGGTCTCGCGGAGAAGGACGCCATCAGTCATATACTTGATCACAGTGTTCGGGCCGGTCACATCTTCAAACCGGATCGCATATCCGACTTTGTCGCCAAGTTCGCACCCCATTTCCTCACTTACACGGTTGGCGACCGACATTGCTGCCACTCTCCGGGGCTGCGTACAGCCGATCATTCCGTAAGTTGTGTACCCGTCCTCGTGAAGGTACTGGGTCATCTGAGTTGTCTTCCCTGAGCCTGTCTCCCCTACAACAACAATAACCTGATTTTCCCTGATCACCTGGAGCAAATCTTCCCTCACACTAAAAATAGGCAAGAACTGACGCTGCTCCGATATCGTTTTCGACTTCGCAAACTCGCTTGCTGCTTCCAACTTCTGCTTCATGTGTGTTGCGAACTTTGCATTCTCTTTGAAATCCACCTCTCCTTCCTCGCCTTTCACCTTGTCGGGATCAGGCTCTTCCTCCTTCTGCACTCCGAGCAAGTTGCCAAGCTTGCTCCCAGCCAACTCCCAGAAGCGTTGCCGGCTCTTGTTCTGGTCGCGCTTTTCTCGAAGCTCTCTCATAATCGCCGATCCTTTGCGAGCTATCACAGCCATGTCGCTGGTGGGATCCTTGACCGGCATCACAGGGTCCTGCTGCTTTGTGAAAACAACTCGCCCGTCTAAAAACGGAGGCTTTGTATCGTGTACTAGCAGCACGACTCGCGATTCTTCTTCATCATCAAACTCCATGCTCTGCTCCACTCCTCGAACGACACCACTTGCCAACAGCTGACGATCTTCCCATTGTGCATTGTCCGCGCTGAGCTGGCTCAACTTCTTACTCTGTGCCAGGGTCATCCGTGTGCCATCCTTCCTGACCAACCGCTTCGTGAACTCTGCCTCCCTTTTCTTGAACCTCTCACTGTCTCCTAGAAACACTGAGCTTTCCATTCCCATAGCCGAACTCCAACCATCTTCGTTGTCATACCACGCTCGATCCACCCTCCGGTCTTCCGCCTCCAGCTCTGCTCGCAGCCTCACCTCTGCTTCAGGGTCGTCTGCGTCCAACTCAGAAGCACCTCTTGCAACACTACGCCTCTCCGACCCTGCCCTGTCGCTCCTCGAAAACACCAAACGGTGGTGTTGCCCCTTTTGGAATCCGGCAGACGACTCCCCGTCCCCACCCTCTGCCCTGATTGGACTAGGAGATGGAAATGCGGAGTCCCATGCCGATGACATATCTCTACCCAAAGGCATCGACAATCCAGAAACAGCTGGCGACGGTGCTCCATGTGACAAGACAGGCGATGGGAAGTAGTTTGGCGTTGCTACCCTATCCTTCTGTCTTCTACCCATCCCACCATCCCATTCATGGCGCCTAGTACTTCCTATGCTGCTGCCTCGCTCCGATGTCAGCCCACTCCTAGGAGAGCCCTCATCTAACCGACCTCGATCATCCATTGCACTTCTCTCTCTAGACCTCCGCCCACCCTCGTCCTCTCCACGGTCTTCACGATAAGCGTAAGCCTTCCGATTTCCGCTTTCATGCCTGTCTCTATCCCCCCAACCATGTTTTTCTCTCTCTCTCTCTCTCCCGTCTCTGTTCCGATCATGCCCATGTTTTGACCTGTGGCCTAAGTCCTTGTGGTAGCGATGCCTCTCCTCTCGCTCGCGCTCCCGCCTCTTCTCTGCGATTGCCGCCAAGGCTTCCTCAGTGAGCACGCCTGGATGCGAAGGCGTTTCAGGTCGTTGACTTCGATATTTCCTCTGGTTGTGAGAGCTAAGCGAGTGTCTCCTCGCCACATCGTCGCCGTCATCACAAACATCATCCACACCTGTTTCCGACTCTGAGTCCGCTAGCCGGTCAACTGCAGTGGGAAGAACTCGCACACCCTTGTCTTTGGAACTGGGGCCCTGCTGCTGCTTGTCTAAACCGCGTTTTGCTTGGGCAAGTCTGTCCAGGCCCAGCAAGGACTTTCTTTCTGCAGGAACCTTGAACGTTACCCTTTCCTGATTAGGATTTTGGAGCCCTCCACGACACGTCGTCAACAGCCCCCCTTTCTCTACCTCTGTTTCTCTTGGTTGCAAGCCGTCCTGTTTATCCGCAATAAACCCCTCCATTTCTCTCTTCACCCGTTGGCAAACCCATGCGTCAACATTCGTTACTCATAGAGATTCAGCTCCAAAGCACCCACCAGCTGCGGTGCTTGCTACATATTCGCCGCAAAGGCCTTGATCTCTGAGCCTAAGCGCCAACGTTCATTCCAAGCAAGCATCAGTATTCGTTCATCGTAGGGATTCAGCTCCAAAGCAACAGCAGCACGCCGCGGCTTCAGCTCCAAAGCAACAGCTGCACGCCGCAAAGGCCGTGATATCTGAACCTAAGCGCCAATGTTCATTCCAAAGAAGTGACACCACCAAAGTAATCAAAGGTCAGCTAGGTAGTGCACATGCCCGGCCAAAAAAATGTCCTGCTGGGTCGTCTGGACCAGACAGGTCCCAGGGAACCTGTGCAGAAATCCGGACAAGCCAGAAATGGCCCCCTTGGCAAGGTCTTCTCAGGTCAGGACCAGAATACGGCCTCTTTCCAAAAAAACGTGCCAAAGCATAGTCCTCTTCAATTCAATTGACAAAAAACAACAACCCCTCTCCCTCTGAAAACCGTCACTTCCATCAGTAGACGAAATCAATCCATCAAGTGAAAAATTTCGCCCCCACATTAATTAACTCAAAACCAGACAGCTTAAAACACACACACACACACACCTCCACCTTCAGAGGCCCGCACTTCCATCAGTGAAACAAAAACACTCAATCTACGAAGCCAAAAAAATCCACCCACATGTCGATCCCAATTGAAGATACGATAAATATTACTCTTGCTTAGTCCCTCCCCGCACGCGCACCCCCCCCCCCCCCCCCCCCCCCCCCCACCCCCACCCTCCCACACCCCCACTCTCCCCCCCCCCCCCCCCCCAACCCACCCTTTCAATCCAATTCAACCCCACTGTTTTTTTCTAATCTTAGAATATTCTCCCAAGGCAATCAGATTACTTTGTCATCATCCTTTTTGGAGAAAGGGTAAGTTCAGATCATCCTTATCCAAGAAAGAAGGATCAGGAATGCTCCACATTTTCTTGTCCTGGAATCTGGATTATGTATGTTTGTCCCTGTCATCGCTGTTATAATGAACTTGAGTGCACCCTTCCTGAATGGAATGGAATGGAGTAGTACTTACTAATTGGAATGGAATGGAGTGGAATGGAGTGGAATGGAATGGAATGGAATGGAATGGAGTAGTACTTACTAATTGGAATGGAATGGAATGGAATGGAGTAGTACTTGCTGAATGGAATGGAATGGAGTGGAATGGAGTAGGAGTACTTATAACTTCGCAAGTTACGGACGACATCCTTTAGCCAATCTAGTGAGCCCCAAGTGTGAACACCTTCGTTACGTGTGCACCTGCACAGGTCAACAAATGGTGGGGACCACTACACCAGGCAGGACGGAGATGTTCCAAACAACCCCATGGCAATCCGATAGTGGGGCACTGGGGACCACAAAAACATCTGTTGTGGGGACCGCCAATGAGTCCTGGTGCTTGGTGGTGGGGACCACAACACAGCAGCTGACACAGGGCCTGCCAGTTGTGAAAATTGACCGAACGAGCCTCCTCCCTCATTGTCTTCTGTCAGATCACGTCGCAAAGAACACCACGGCAGGTCGGCATCCTTGATTAACTCAGTGGCTGATTGATTGATTGATTGATTGATTACTTACTTGATTAATCAAATCGTTAATTGGTTGATCTATGATCGGTGGATGGATTATCGATTGATTCATAGATTGGTTTTGTCAATTACTGAAAGTCGCAGATCATGATGAGGCCAAAGCTGGACAACGCTGATTGATTAACTGGTTTCTTGGCTTATCGGAAGGTTGGTTGGTTGGCTGGTTTTTAATCCATAGATGGATGAATTTGCTCAATTTATTGGAATGAGGAGGTTGGTTGATGGATCCGTTGCCAAGCTGCCTATACCTCGGCTACCAATCGTCCAGTGTTTTCAGCTATAAGACAATCAACGAATGGTTTGACCGAGTAATCAATCAGCCAATCCGTCACCCATCCAGTCCAGAAAAAATAAACCAAGTGATCAATCCAGCAACCACCCAATCCAGCAATTAACCAAGAAGTTCATCATAGCCACACACAGCAGCAATTCCCCACCATTGTTGAGAACCAAACATGCTCTCTATCTTGCTTGTTTGCTTGCTGATTAGATTAGATTATACATTATATACATTAAATTAGATTAAAATTAGCTGAGATTGGATTAGATCAATTTACATTCAGATTAGATTTAGATTTAGATTTAGATTTAGATTTAGATCGAGCAGATCAGATCAGATTAGCATTACATCAGATCAGATCAGATTTAGATCAGATCAGATTTAGATCAGATCGGATTTAGATCAGATCAAATCAGTTCAGATCAACTCAGTTCAGATCAAATAGATGGACAGATAGACACATAAATATATATGATAACATATATCAGATAGATTATATAGATATGATTAGACACGATAGACACGATAGACACGATGGACACGATAGACACGATAGATAGGATAGATACATAGCTACATAGGTACATAGATACATAAGGTAAGATTAGATAAGATAGATAAGATGGACAAGATAGATAAGATGGACAAGATGGACAAGATAGATAAGATAGATAAGATAGATAAGATGGATAAGATGGATAAGGTGGTGAAAAAGAACTGCCAGGTGAACTGTATGCAGAAAGAGAGAAAAGCACAAGAAACTGGGGGCTGGGAAAGACTGTTTCGTTGGAGTTTCACCGACTTACAGATGGATGGGATATACCTGAACCCAAAAAAATCACTCCTTGTGAAGAAATTCAACTCCCAAGATAGGGAAGGAAAGGTCATTACAAGCCTTTTGAAATCTTTCCATTTGTAGCTAATTCCAGAGGCACACACGAAAAAAAAAAAAAAAAAAAATCATCATCCAATCTCATTGCATGCTGAACTCACAGATTTTCACTATCGCGGTTGAGAGAGCCTACCATCATGCACCACCACCAGTGCCGCTAGGCACTTCGGACCTTAAAACCCTAAACCCTAGTATGCCGAAATACTATCAGCTTTCTTTTCCGGGCATCTTCAGAAAGGTAAAGAGGCTCTATGAGTGTGGAAAATGAAGACACGGAAGGGCAGGAGAGTCATTATAAGTGGGAGAGGGGGAGAGAGAGAGAAAGCAAGAGAGGGGCACTCAAGTCTTCGCCATTAATTTTTTTGCGTGACTGAATTTCTCGTTTGAGCCATCCCTCAATGGATTGGTTGATTGATTTCTTTTATGCAGTGATAATTAATTACCTCCACCTTCATTAATCCCTTGATTACCTAACGAATCGATTTTGATCATTTCACTCGCCACTGACTCGCCACTGACTCGCCGATGGCTTAATTTCGATTCAAAATAACCACCTGACAAATGAATTAACTGCCTGATCCATTGATTGATTAATGATTAATTGGTTGATTGGTTGATTGACTAAGTGGTCAATGGATTAATTAATTGATCGGTTGATATACTGATTGATCGAGTCGTTGATTGATTGATTGACTCATTCATTAATTCATTCACTAATTGATTGATTGGTTGATTGTTCGAGTGGTTGATTGAGTGGTTGATCGAGAGATCGAGTGATCGAGTGATCGAGTGAGTGAGTGAGTGACTGACTGACTGACTGACAGACCTGCCCATTGATTAGATTGCTGTTCGCGGTTTGATTGCTCGGTCATTAATAAGCCAGCGAGGCGGAAGAGAGGACAGCCCCAGGGAGGGAGGTGGGGAGGGGGAAGGGAAGGGAAAAGGAATAGAAACGGTCGATTCCCAAATCCTTCAATCAATAAATCAATTCAATCAGTCAGTCCAGCGGGTCGCGTAGTTAACCACCCACATCGAGACCATCGTCTATCCGACTAACAGACTGATTCAATGGGCAAACTAATTTACAAAATGGATTGCTAAACTTGCCATTGATTAATACTGAACTAATCAAGGATTGATCACCCTAATTGATCATTAATTGATTTTGCTTTAGCTATTAGAGCTCGCGTGACCAATCGTCTGCAACCCCAAATCAACGGACTCGTCAATGACTTTAAACCATCGTGGGTAGAGGATGAGCCCCGCTCAGCCACTCGCTAACTGTGAGAAAGACAAAACAAGAAATGGTGACTGCATCTTTCCACCTAAGACAAAACAAGAAATGGTGACTGCATCTTTCCACCTTCTAGATAAAGGTGCATCCACCATTTTACGCACTTGGCTACTTGTGCAGCGAGGCCCTATGCCAACCTATAACCAACATCAGAACTTCCTGAGCTCGCCCAGATCGACCTCAAGGCTGTGTGTGTATGAAAAGAGGGGGGGAAGGGGGGGAAGGGGGTACAAGGAGGAAAGGGGGAGGGGGAGAAGCCGCGGGGGGGCATTTCGTTAAAAAAAAAGCACTACCGTCTTCTCACCAGAATAGAACGGTCTGTCACTTTCGCCTTATCTGGACGGGAAGTTGCCCCAAATACAGCTATAATTACTGGACGTTCTATTCGGGTGCGAAGACGGTAAAGAAGGGGTCATTGCTTTTTCTATGTTCCGAGCAATATGCCCCGTTGGGGGCTATTTCATTTCATTTCGCTTTTTATGGAATCCATTTCTTCCCTTCTCTTTTTCCAACATCTAAAGCAGCGGACGGCTGGGAAGTATTGCCTCTGCAGTTGATTGCTGCTGCAAGAACTGCTGTTGCAGCTGTTGCCGTTGATTGCTCTGTTGTTGTCCCCCATTACTGTGGGAAATCCATTGGCGGGACACATCCTGCATAATCTATCTATCCTGCTCCTATGGATGTTGCTATTGCTGTAATAGTCGCAATCTATCCAGCAGTCTATTCCTACTGTTGCTATCGTCCGCTGAAGATAGTGATCGAGGTTGGAAGGGGGAGAAGGAGATTTGAGTGATTGACTTATTGATTAACTGATTGATGTATTGACTGATTAACTGATTGATTGATTTATCGATTGATTGATTGGTTGTTTGATTGATTGATTGATTGATTGGCTGATTGTTGGCTGATTGATTAGCCGATCGATCGATGATCGATTGATTGATTGATTGATTGATCGATTGATTGATTGATCGATTGATTGATTGATTGATTGATTGGAAGATTGATTGGAAGATTGATCGGTCCATCCATTGAACAACCGATTGGTTATTTGATTGATTGATTGATTGATTGATTGATCGGTCCATCCATTGAACAACCGATTGGTTAATTGGTTGATTGATTGATCCATTAATCGATATCTCGATGGATGGATTGGCTGATCCCTTGACGGATTGATTGATCCCTTGACGGAATGATTGATCAATGGATGAATTCATTGATAGATTGATTAACTGGCCGGTCCATTGATGGATTGATGGATAGATTGATGGATAGACTGATGGACACATCGATTACTATATTAATCGGTTGACAGATTGATAGATTGATTGGTTCACGCATTGATTGATCAAGAGGACGGAAGGAGGAGATCCATTGCCCGCTCCTCTTCCTCCCCCCCCTGCGCCCCTTCTTTGATGCCGCTGGGCTTGTCTCGCTGCTTCTGCTGCTGTCGTTGCTGGCTGTGACTTCCCCATCCCCCCATCCCCTCTGCTTCCGCCGCTGTTCGCTGCTTCTGGTTACTGCTGGTCATTGCTGCTGCTTGCTGCTTGCTGCTGGCTGCTGGCTGCAGCTGACTATATATAGCTGCTGACTATATATTGTCACAAAGTTATCAGAGCGCAAAGGCGAAAAAAAACAGAAGAAAACAAGAAAAGAAATTTTCGTTTTTTTTATATCTTCTTCCTTAAAACTCCCCCTGTTCAGAACCTCTTGCGTACAAGGCCGCCCACGTGGATGTAGGTTGAGCGGCAGCTGCCCCCACCCCTGTGTGTCATATCGACCCACTTGCACACAGCCAAAAGGCAAAGAGGCAAAGAAAAGAGGAAGGGAACAGCCATATATATATTGTCACACTGTAAATCAGAGCGCGAAGGCGAAAAAAAACAAAACAAGGAAAGGAAAAGAAGAAAGGAAGGAAAGAAAGCCCCAACTGTTATGTACATATTTACGTTGTACTTCTCTTCCTCACGTTGTAGTCATGCCGGTACATGTGAGGAACGCGTCTGAAGCTGGTGCGCGCTGCGTGATCACGAGAGGTGCCAAGCAGAGTGCGACAAAGTGCGGCAAAGTGCGGCAAAGTGCGGCAAAGTGCGGCAAAGTGCGACAAAGTGCGGCAAAGAGCGGGAAAGTGCGGCAAAGTGTGGCAAAGTGCGGCAAAGCAAAGTGAAGGAGAGTACAGGAAAGCGCAGCAAAGTGCAGCAGAGTATACCATAGCACAGCATAGAAGACGTTAGTATGGCATAGTATAGCGTAGTAAAGGTTACTATGGCATAGTATGGCATAGCAGAGCGTAGTACGGCCTGCTACGCCATAGGTCATGATACTACAAGAGAGTGAAGCGCAGTACCAAACAGCAGACACGGCACATCTCATGTGCGGCAGTACTATACAGCATTGCATCAGAGCAGACAGTATAGAACCTCATCACTCACCATTATCGGCATAGCATAAGGTACTATGTAACATCATAGCG